AACCACTTTTATTTATCTTTTTCTGACATAAGACATCAGTCAAATGGTTAGAAGAGGTCTCGACTTAATTTTTTTTAACAGTCTTAATGTTTAATTGGTTTGTATGTCAACATTCTTGTAAGTCTCTTCATATTCATCAATGTACCTCATGTACCTCCAGATGATGTCATTAATACAGATGTTTTTTGGGGTTTTCTATAAGTACCCTCATTTTTTTCCAATTCCACCCCCTTGACATGACTTTTTTGTCTTTTGTTGTTTTTTTTTGTTTTTTCTCTATTTTGTTTTTTTGTTGTTTTTAATTCTTTTTTATTTTTTTATTTTATTATTATTATTATTATTATTATTATTATTATAAATTTCGATAACCGTATAAAATCCGGACAACATTTTAAAATTCGGATGAAATCTTAAAATTCGGACGTTGTTATAAATTTGGACGACATAATAAAATTCGAACGACTACATAAAACGAAACAAAAACAAAGTTTGTCTTTATTTATTACAGATATATTTTATTGGTTCGGTATTAAATTTTCGTGGTGTGTTATGCGGATTGAAAACAAACTTTACTTTTGTTCCATTTTATATAGTCGTTCGGATTTTATAATGTCGTCCGAATTTATAATGTTGTCCGAATTTTAAAACGTTGTCTAAATTTATATGATTATGGAAATTTATAATAATAATAATAATAATAATAATAATAATAATAATAAAGAAATAACAAAAAAAACAAAAAGGGCAAAAATATATATATATATATATATATATATTATATATATATATATATATATATATATATATATATATATATATATGTCAAATCAAAAGTAAAAAGGTTGATTAGATTGATGGTAGGGGGTAAAATTGGATAAGAAGGGTACTTATAGCACAACCCATGTTTTTTTAGAGATATGGAAAATTAGAAATAATTAAAAGAAAAAAATATATTCGAATAAACTAATAAATTTGCCGCCAATAATCTAAATTGTAATTTTCTTTATGATTTGAAATAATTTCCATCCCTTCACACATTCAATAGTGCATGAAAGATAATTTGATTTACCAAGAAGCATTTATTGGTCATCCTGCATGTCATTGAAAATATTTAAGAGTCATGTCATGTGTGAGATTAGAATTTTACAAATAAATAAAAAGAGAAAGCATGGCGTGGACATGCTTATGTTTCAAACAAAGGGTATCCTATATGCAAAATAAAAAAAACAATAGTCAATGCCTGAAAATGACAATGAGAAAAAAAAACAATATTACACAATACGTAAGTGAATAAAAATTACCAAGATATCATTTGGGTTTTGGCTGTTAAAAGTAGGTTGGAGAGATAAATCTTTAGGCTCATGAACATCATTTGAAGCAAAAAGGCCGTCCATTGTCACACTGGTTTAGTTTCATCAACCGGTGAATATGTATCTTCTGCATGAGGTATATTTGTGTCCTTGTAGTTTATATAAATAGTCTTAAATATATAAATAACCAAATATTAATTAAATAAATACAAGTTTTTATTAAAATTTAATACTTTACCGGTCATTAATTTTGTTTGGGTCTTTATGATTAAAAACTATAGACTACGCAAAAAAAATATATTTTTTGTATTAAGTTGAAGGGTATATAAATAAATATAAAAATCTTATATTTATTAATCGTTAAAATTAGAGGGTGGTAGAGGGGTTGTGATGTTTAATAAATTATCATACGCATATGTAATTCTTATATTTAAGTGTTGCTCTCCGTCCTTAAGGTCGAGAGTTTAAATATCGTCTGAAGCATAGATAAAACTGGGAGTAAGTCTAAGAATATATTAGATTTTCTGTTTTAAAAAAACTAGTTCCTATATTTTCATAATTGTATATTTAATTAACAATATCCTATATTTAATTGTATACTTGATAGACGTTATCCTATCTTTTTATGAAAACAAAATTTGCTAAGTTTATAAAAACATTATAGTAAATTTTCGACATATAATGCATCAATGAGTTCAAAATTTTATATGCCCCTCAAAAGTTTGAATGCAATCCTAGTGCCTTCATTTCTAAGCATAGGACTAGAATTAGGAAAATAAATTTATGATTGCTAAAACAAGGATAGTAAGGTAATTTCACATTTACCAATGTAATCAATCTTTTTACAACTTGTTATCTAGAAATAGATATCTCATAATCCCTCCATCACAAGGAACACAAACAAAAGACAAAACATAAGGAATTTTGGAATTTACAAAGCCATATGTTTTCTCGCAATTTTCAAAGTCGATTGAATTTTCTTGACAAAACAGTTTTGTTTGGGTCTTTTGACTCTTTGTATTTTGGTGATTCCACAGTTTCTAAACACAATGATCATTTGATGCCTCCAACTGAAATAATTTTGTCCATTCAGTTTAATGTACACAAAGTCTGTCATGTTTGATATTTAAAAATGACATTATACCTCCTATTGAATAAACAGTCTTTCATTACGTACATATGGAACAAACTTGGCTGAAATGAAGTAAGTTCCTCCCCATGATCAAATTCAAATCGGACCCGGATCTAATTCTGGATATTTATCTGTGGATAAAGCAAGAACATGTAGTAACCTAGCTTCAATTGTAGTTGTTGTAAGTTCAGAAATAATTAATGGATTCGTACCTAAATGCATGATGGGGTGGCAAAGAGGTGGGTTGATGTTCAAGATGAACATTTTTTCTGATTTTTTTTTTGCGTATTAGGAACATACTTGCCTCGTTACTGAATATATCAGTGACTCGATATAGAATAAAGAATCCTAGATGAAACACATCACTACAGTCCGTTGATTCTGCTATACCAAATGCACCAAAAAAGACATTCATCGATGAAAAATTTGGAACACTCGAAGATTTAAAAAGAAAAAAGTATTTTGCGTATTTAAGCTCTTATTAATTGGATTCAGATGACATGTTTCAATCTCCAAAGCCAATGTTTGGGTCAAAAGGGTATTTAAATCAAAAATGTTTCTGTTAATAAAAAACTGAGCTGCAATGTTTAATCAACAGTCATCAAGTCTAACTTCCCAGTCACTATACCATTTCGATGTTTGATTTAGAAATTAAGTAAATGCCAAGTTACATATTACAAAGGAGAAGGGTTTGTGCTATGAAAGTCATAAATCTAACAATAAAAAAAATCAATAACTAATTTGTAACCTGTGACGATTTGATGGGTAGTTCAGAAATCCTTTTATAATGCCCCATCACCAACTTGTTAGAATCATATTCTTGGATCCTCTTGCGTGGGATTTATGGTTAATTGTAACCTCCAAAACTCTTTCATCACGTGATTACCTAATGAACCTTCAAAAGCTAGATACCCTATTGAACACTGAGCAAGAAGAACGTGTATATAAAATGTTTACCTGTGCTTGTTTGTGTTAAATGAAATTCAAAACTGATAATTGATAATTTGTTCCTTGTTTACATTCACCCTTTCAGTTGATCATACTAATGGCATCGATAGGTAACAGTTGAACAAAGTCCTCAATTTGTAAACCAACTCGTTATACTTTTTAAAGCTATTACCAATATAACAAAATTTTGAAAAAGAACAGGAAGATCACCTATTTCCAACTCCAGCAATTAAACATATAAAAAGTGGATACCCATAAAAGCTATCTAGTACCAAATCTGACCAGAAGCAATAATCGAAACAATAAACATAAATTTCCTTACACTTCAATATGACGATACACTTTACTTTGCTTGATCCAAATCCTAATACAATACCTTAAATTCCTGCACATATTCAGAAACTGAATTCAACTTACATATAATAATTCACAAAATACAAAAGATAAATAATCAAAGGAATGAGAAAGGGAAATCTTCAAAAAAGTCCCAAACTTTTGGGAAAAATTACACTTTTGTCCCAACACTTTTTTTTGAACAAAAAAACCCAGAAAACCGGATAAATTGAACATTTCGGCCCTATTTTACCGGCGACCTTCATTTAGCCGGTTAAAATTGCTTATGTGGCATGGAGTTGCTGAGGTGGTTGGTGAGTCATTTAATGTCCTTGTATAAAAGTCTAAATATAGTGGAAAACTTCATTCGTGCCCTAGCAGACAACGATTGAAGCAGGAGCAGTGGAGGACCATGACAAATGTCTTCTTCGTCTTCTTCATCTTTAATGAATCGTCTCAGAAATAAGTGCTACTGTGGTGATCCTGTAGGAAGATGGACTTCGTAGACTCCATTAAACCCAGGAAGAAGGTTTATAGGATGCCCAAATTACAAGAATGGAGTCAAAGATTGCAAGTACTTTCGTTGGGTGGATCCTCCTCTACCAAACCAGTGGTATGCAAATTTGTTATTAGTATTACACAACAATGTCAATTTGGAGAACCATCGAATATTTGGGGAGTTTGGGCAAGAACAACCAACTGGGAACTTTTTTGGAGACGTTGTGGAACAGCCAATGGCACAACAACCAGTTGCACAACAAGCAGTGGAAAGAGGAAGATGGAAATCATTTCTGTATGTCTCTGTGGTTTCTTTTGTGTTTTTGTTGGTTATGTTGATGGATTGGTAGGATAGAAAGTTGTTTTAATGTATTTTGTTTGTATTTGTTTTGGTTATGACTAAGGGTTGTGTTTGTTTTGGTTATGACTAAGTATTTTGTGACTCATCTGATTATGAATGAAGTAACTAGTCTATGTATGAACTTTAAATGTGTTGATTGTAATCAATGAATGTAATCAAAGTATGACTTTAATCAGTTAATAATGGACTTAATACACAAAGGACTCAATACATAACGAGTCATTAAATAAAACAAATCAATACATAATGGAGTCAATCATGCATGACTGGAATCATGCATGACCGGAATCATGCTTTACTGGAATCATGCATAACTAGGATACATATAAGCAAACATTGTAAGCACAAGTAATGTATGCATCACTGGAATCTATAAAACAAGGAATCAATATAACCAAACATAAACATTGTTAATTATAGAATATGTAGTAATATTAACCAAAGCCAAACAATTTTATGGTTAGTTGTGTAAATGCCCAAAAACATGTTAAAGGGCCCAAAGCCTATAGTTTATATGGATGTAAACAAAAGGGGCTATTAACAAAAGGGGCTATCAATAGTAGAGGCTTATCAACAAAAAGGGCTATCAACATTTGCCCAAACCCAAAAGTTTTATACATGTTCTTAACAAAAGTAAAGATTAGAAACACCCTATTCTAGACTAAGGGGGTTGGATGAACTCATCCCCTTTCCATTCTTGACAGCTACCACCTTTTGCAACTTGATCTCTGTTATCCTTTCTGAAGGCTTCCTCCTTCTGACTTGATTCACTTTGCTCCTCTTTGTAGGCCTCATTCTGACTTGATTCAATTGTTATGTGGCAGGTATTTCTCTCTCATCATCCATCCTTTCCTCATTCATCATTACCTCACCCATCCCCGTCTCATCTTTGCCATCCTCCTCATTCATGCTTTCCTCATCTCCAAGTGCTTGAGTTTTAGGGAATTCTTCAACTGTTATTTGGCTAGCAATTCCAACATCCTGTAAAAAGCATAACAAAAGGACACTTAGCAAGATTTAACATCACAAAATGAATAATGAGAAAGCATACTTGTGACATAGCAACATCCACATCTTCAATTTGTTGTACTTCTGCTTCACTCAATCCAAGACCTTCAATTTGTTGAAAATCTGGACTTGCATCATTTTCACTCTCAACATTTGGAATGGCAACATGTTCAAGCTCACATTTAGGAAACTCAGAAGTACCCTCCCCATATTCTGTTTGGACTCCTTCACCAGATCCCCTACCACCACCTCTATTGCTTCTTCCACTAGATCCCCTACCACCACCTCTACTTCTTCATCCACCAACCCTTCCACCACCTCTAGATCCTTTTTTAGTTCCTGACCAATTAAGCAAATTAGGTTCCAACCTAGGCCTGCCCATTTTTTTTAGGTTGAGGTTCAGGAACCACTATAGGATTCTTGCATGATGTTTTATTGTGTCCCCTTTATAGACAATTTTTACACTGGACAGTTCTACCCTTGCTTGGCACTTGAGAGTACTTGTCTTGATTTTCTGAAACATGTCTTCCTCTTTTAACACTAGGCCTTCCTGGCATCCTCCTTTCAATGGGTGGAAGGGGCTTAGTGTAACTTGTTTCTTCCCATAAGTTACTTCCATTAACTGGGAGTATATTCTGATCATAATTGTAATTATTCTTGCTGAACCAACTACTTATAAAGTTAACTGGATCTTGATTGGTGTACAATATTGCCACTTGTGCATGCACACAAGGTAACCCTGAAAGTTCCCATAGTCTACAAGCACAAGTTTTTTCCTTCAAGTCAACTACATAGTTTTGAACCCATTCCTTACTTCATATTCATTCACTCCACTTGGAACTGCAGACAAACTTCTGCAAACACATAAAATAGAACATAAGATGCAAACACATAAGATAGAACATGTAAAAACAAAACAATTGAAAATACTTACTTAATGTCTTCTCTAAATTCTTCCATCTTTGTTACCTCGGAAGGACAAACTTCACCAACCCAATTTTCAGCCTCTTGTTTCAGATTGAAAGCCCTTTCCATCATGTAAAGCCTAATCTCTTCAAGCATAGTCAGTAGAGGTTTCTTTCTTGCGTCTACAATGATTGCATTGAAACACTCAGCAATCCCATTCTCTACAGCCTCACAAGCCAAGCAAGTAGAGAAATAAGCCCTGCACCATGAAGTTGGTTCCCTTGCCATGAGATGATCATAAGCAGCAAAACTTATTGCCCTGATCCTTTCCATATTAAAATTGAAATCTCCTTCTGTGGTAGATTTTACAGCCGCCCAAAACATGTTTCTGAACTCTACTTCACTATAAACTTTTCTGAAATTGGCATAGATATGCCTGGCACATTGCCTGTGCTCAACATATGGTAGAATATCCTTACTAGCTTCAACAAGACCCTAAAACATATGGTAGAATATCCTTATTAGCAACACCTTACACTATTGTAAATAATGAAAAATAAAGAGATAGTTACTTTACCTTGTGTTGGTCACTGATTACACACACACCCCTTCCAACCTGCAATCCAAGATCATCATTAACCAAATCCAGGAACCATTTCCAGTTGTTCTTGTTCTCTACATCAACAACTGCCCAAGCTATAGGATACACCTGATTGTTGGCATCCCTACCTATTGTAGTTAACAACTCACCCTTACATTGTCCCTTAAAAAAAGAACCATCCAATCCTATTACACTACGACATCCCCTTTTCCACCCCTCTCTTATTGCTTTAAAGCAAATGTAGAATCTATGAAATGCTGTGGTATTATCAGGGTTTACAGTAACTGTAATCCTAACTGTGCTGTCTGGATTGGATATCAGTAGCTCATGCCCATATTCCCAAACTCTTGCGTAGTGGTCACTCAATTTCCCATGAATTAATGACAGTGCCCTCATCCTTGATCTATAACACTTTGACCATGGAAATTTTCAATGAAATTTACTTTGAATAATTACCTGCATCTCCTTGCATTTTAAATTAGGTTTCCTAATTAACTCCTTCACAAATTTCCTAACTAACCAGGTAGGATCCATAAGCCTTGAATTGTTAGAATTCCTAACACATTTATGAATGTCTATCATCTTTTTGACTTGGAAAGACCTTTCAGTACTCATCCAAGAAGCCCTAACCACAAATGGACACTTCTATGGACCACTTCCACATATTGCCACTAGTCTAACACTATCACATTTTTTGAAACGGATTTGAAAACCCTTACTAACAGCATAGTTGGTTAAACACAATTTCAGTTCATGTGGGGATTCATACCTTTCACCAAGCGTTGGTCTCATTTTGTTCCATTTCACATTTGGATTGTGGGTGGAATACTCAAATTCCTCATCACAATCTTCCTCGTTACTACCTTCCAGATAATCTTCATCTGATTCTTTTTTAGTGATTCCAGTTTGAGCATCGTTTCCAGTTTGAGCATCATTTTCAATTTGAGCATCATTTTCAGTTTGAGCATCATCTACTGCCTCATAATCGTCTTCTTCACATAGAATATTGAGAAATTCATCTTTGCATTGGGAAACTTGTTTCTTTTTGAAGTACGCATCCAACTCCACATTTATTGTATCAAAATCATGGATGTCGTCCATGATTTCAATTGCACGGGGGTAAAAACCCTAGTTTACTGAGGGGGAGGTAGAATGTGAAACGAGAGAGGTAAGTTGTATTGTGTGTGTGTGTCTAAATGAGGTCGATTAAACCCACGTAAGCAACTCCTGGCCACATAAGAAAATTTAACCGGCTAAATGAGGGTCGACGGTATAATAGGGCCAAAATGTTCGATTTATCCGGTTTCCTTGGTTTTTTTGTTCAAAAAAAATATTTTAGGACAAAAGTGTAAATTTTCCCAAAAGTTTGGGACTGAAGATTTCCCAATGAGAAATGGAAAAATTAGAGGTTTACCTTCTGCAACAAATTAGTTGTTCTTAAGAAAAAAACCTGAACTTCAGCAAAGAAGACGAAGATGAAGATGTAGCTTCAATTAAAAACCTTAGAAAATTCAATAGAGAATCAGGAGTGATGTAGAAGAGAAGAAGGATGACTGAAATCAAAGTTGCATATTCGAATTTCAATATAGAATCCCTTCAATTTAGGGTTCAAACATGTAGAGGATGAAATTGTTGCCTCCCTCGTATTGTCCTCTCCCGTTCCCATGGAAGCCACAGAAATGTCCAAAGAGAAATAAGTGGTGTGTAACAGTGCTCCAGTTGGGGGCTATGTTAGCTGACCGGAAAGATGTAAATAGGGAATGATCAAGAAGTGACAAATATAAGATAAAAAACATCACCTTTCTTATTGGGGGTGAGGGGCGATGGTAGATGCACAAACGACGAGCAAAATCCAAGCAGACCTCATGAACTGGAATCCAAATTGAAATCTACACATATATCTTTTGTTGAAAAGACCCAAGAATCAAATAAACAGGAACGACAATTGCCGTTCTTTCAAAGCCTATAAAAAGAAAAGATAAATCGATCGTCTCCAGCATAGAGTGAGAACAAAAATTAACTAATAGAAAACCTATGATCTGAAATTATACATACGTTAAATATAGAAGATGGGGTCGGCCGAAAATTTTAACATTGAGCAAGGAGGAGGTGGAAGAAGGAGACTCGTTAGGGAAGAGGTGGAGGAAAACTGGAGGGAAAAGAGGTGGGAAGCAGGTGGCAAGAAGCTTTGGGGGAAACGCCACCGCCAAGAAAGAAAAACCTATCATGAAGTCTTTTGCCTCAGCGTGAGGTCAGGATAACTAGAGAAGGACGCAGGCAGGTAGCTTAAGACCATATACGTTAAAAAAACCCCGCCCGACAACATGCTTATTGGAAGAGGAAGCAGCTTATCGATGTGGACATAAACACAAGTCTTTAACATATAGGTAATGATAAGAAGAATTCGACATCTACAAGTTTAAACATTAAAAATACACATAACTACAAGTTATAGATCAATACAAATATATTAAAAACCACATAATCATAAGAATTACATCAATCCAAATGCATAAAAAAGAAAGATAAAGTATAATACAAAAAATATAGTTTAGATGAATACTAACGCATCAAGATCAAACTAAATCACGGATTTTGAGATTTTGGAGTGTTAATCGCATTAATCTCACGACTGCTTAGTAATGATATCTACTATCAACTTGATCCTCATCAAAACATGGTCATTATCCTTTTCTATAGTATCAAATAAACAATTTTAATGTTACGTAATAGACTAAAAATAATAATTATAAAAATAAAAAATGCCACCTTGCATTCAAGAAGCTTGTTCGTACTCTTGCTCGTCAAGCAAATTTTCTAAATCATTGTAATCAATTTCTCCTTTAGGGTCTTCTTCAACCATGCAAAGACCTGTCTTATCAATATATTCATATTCAATAGGATGATAAGAGCTCTTATCAACCTTTAGTCTACAAAAATATTCATAAAAATGAAACATAATTGGTAAAATAAAATGACATTGTTAATAGACAAATATTTTATTACAATGTAATATCTGTATTTTGTATAAACATTTTATTATAATGTAATGTACCTACTTAGTAAATTCAAGTTGTATCCAGCAAATACAAGATCATTTACCCTTTGATGTTCCAACATATTCATTTTTTTATGTAAATCCTTTCAAAGACACTCCAATTATATCCGCAACCGGAAGAAGATGTGATTTGACTTAATATTCTAATAGAAAACATTTCCAATATCAAAGTATCTTCACAAAATAACTTTCAACACTTATCTAGAAAAGAAATGGTTAGAAAAAATATTTCATAATAATATATAGAATAATAATATATAAAAGTTAAATGTAACCTGGATGAGTACTAGTACGAGAAGCAACAACACTAAATCTACCAAAAGTACCTTCACCGTCACAAAACTTGCTCTAAAATGCCTCTACCGAAAAAATTATTTTAAACCATATGGAGAACACCTTCCTTAACAAACGAGTCATCATTTTCAACATAATCAAATAATTTTAATAAAAAAATCATTCAAGACAATTTATTTACATTCAACTGCATTTCGAACTTTCAACATCTTCTTAAAATCGTTAGATATGGCCATTCCTTGTAACTCAACTGTATGGTTATACAAAATTTTCAATGCAATGAACGCGGTATTAAAACGGGTAGCACCTTGAAGAATGATTTTTGTCCAACCAGGTATTTTTCATAACCAATATAAGGGCCATTTATGATTATAAATAAAAAGAGTAACCTTGGATGCAAGAGGAACCAAACTTTTCATGGTATCCAATTCCAAACATCCTTCAATACAAGATTAAGAATCATGTTGCACATTGAGACCAAGTAATAAATGTATATCTTTCACATAACTTATTATGAAAAAGTTTCAAATTAGCAACATTGTCAGTAACAATTTAAACCACATTATTTTCTCCTATCATTTCAACAATCTCAACAAACAAATTACTCAAATTTGAAGCATTTCTCTCTATGTCGGATGCATTAAATTTTAAGAAATGATATCCCTTTCGGATAATAAACCAAGAAATTAACCAAATAATGTTGCCTAGTATCCCTTCAACCCATCACTCATAATCGTGCAACCACTTTCAATCCATTGACTTCTATACAAATCATATAAGAGCGGAACAAACTTCTTTGCATCTTTCAATAAATGGACCCACAAAGCATGATAATTAGGTGCTTTATACCCATAACCAATACCCCATATTTTATCTACCATATGTTGAAAACAATGAGAGTTACAAGTATTCCTATGTACACATACATCATAGAGCCACATCGCAATAGCTAAATCCACATCATGTATTTTTCCCCTTAGTTTTCATGACATATTTAATAGTTGGTTGAGAGGGATCATTTATACATTTTGTAAAGAAATGATGAAAACTTGATGTAGCATTCCTTTTTCCCTCTTTATTAGATTGTGATATTTCGAAATTATGTTTCCTTCATCCTTTCATCGTCATCAGACATTGAAATTGTTTATGCCACCACCACTAGCTTTACCTATTTCCTTTTTAGCCATTTCTTTCAAGATACCTTGCAAGTTAAACGAACTTCTGGAGTTACTTTATTACAAGAGGCTATGTCACCACTAACATCGACAAGATGTTCTTAACTCTATTTATTCCAGCATCATGAATAACTTTTTGACAAAAATTACACACACATACACACACACACATACACACACACACACACACACATATATATATATATATATATATATATATATATATATATATATATATATATATATATATATCTTGTTTCCCTTGTCATCAACAACTAGAGTCACATGTTCCCATGCTTTATTTGTGTTCGTTCTTAGATTTAATTGAACGGAAGAAGGGGATTGAGACTGAGGTTGTGTTTACATTGGTTCTTTGTCTCTAGGTTCCATATTGAACTATATTATAAAGCCACAGAGCAATTTCAAAGTCAAAACAACATGAACATAAGTTAATTATAATATAAAAATTACATTCCAAAATAATAGGAACAAAAACTGAAATTAAAATTGACAACCCAAACAAAAGTTAATTATAACATAAAAATTACAATTCGGCATAATAGGAACAAAAACTGAAATTAAAATTGACAAACCAAACAAAAATGTAACGTCCCAATTTTCAAACTAAAATTTTTCATTAAAAATAGGTTAAACAATTAAAACCCTTTTAACTTAAAATCGTTAGGTGACATTCATTTGTTTAAAAATCATAAAGTTATAGAGTTAAGTTACAAAACAACGAAAACCAATATCTTTGATGCGAGTGTACAGTCTCGTCAAGCTTTTCCCACAAACTGATACAAATATGAGTACATATTCCAAAATGAGTTCAAATTCCGAGTCGGGTGTTGGCTGCAAATGGATGCGACTGGATATGAATGATCTCAAGCCATCGTAGTCACTTATGAACAGTTATGGTCCGAGTGTCATTGGTTGTGATTGTGAGTAGGTGTGATTGGTTCCAAACCATCAGAATGAATCCGAGTCTTGTGTTATAAGTACAACGGGGTCCCTTGTTATCGGTTACAATTGCGATTCTTGGAGTGAGATTCAATGCGAATCTCATAGTACTATCAGATGCGAACTTCGAAGTGTTGTGATTGAGAACAACCTAGGAACCGCATGGATATTGGTTCCGAAGGACTACTTGGATGCGATGTTGTTGGATGCAAGCTACTTGGGATCAGTTTCGATAAAAGATGGGTTTGCATGGTTAATTGTGTGGATTAACATGTGGAAGATTCTATTTATTTTTTGAAACGATTTTTAGCTTTTATTTATTTCATTATTTAGTTTTCAATTAGCTTTTATTAGGTTTCCGTTTTGTAATTAGTTTCCTTTTGTAATAGCTTGTAAGGATATAAATAGGTCGTGGTAGATCATTTGTGAAGTCAATTTATGAATGAATTTTGAATTGAAGAACTTTGTTTCTGTTGAGTTGCTTACTCATCCCTATGTCAATTCCAGGACGTGTTTTCTAGGTTGATTCGAATTCACATCAATAGGTCTTGATTTGTCTTCATCGATACTTAATCTATAGGTCTAGATTGTTTATCAAATCATCTTTTCTTGTT